CCTCTTCTTCATTAGCAGGCCCTCCTCTTCATCAGCAGCTCCTCCTCCTCATTACTAGCCTCTCCTCTTAATCAACAGCCCCTACTCTTCTTTAGCTGCCCTTCATCTTCATCAGCAGCCCCTCCTCTTCTTCATCAGCAGCTCCTCCCCTTCATCAGCTGCCTCTCCACCTCATCAGTATCCCCTCCTCTTCATCAGCAGCCCCTCCTCTTCATCAACTGCCCCTCTTTATCAGCAGCCCCTCTTCATCCTTTCACCAGCAGCTCTTTTTCTTCATCACCTCATAAGCAGCCTCTCTTCATCAGCAGTTCTTCCCCTTTTATGACCAGCCCCTCTTCTTTATCGGTATCCCCTCCTCTTCATCAGCAGCCCCTCCCCTTTATGACCAGCCCCCCTTCTTCATCAGTATCCCCTACTCTTCATCACCAGCCCCTCCTCTTCATCAGCTGCCTGCCCCTCCTTTTTATCCCTTCGCCACCAGCTCCTTATCTTAATCAACAACCCCTCTTCATCAGCATCTCTTCATTTCTTCATTAGCAGCTTCTCCTATTCATCACCAGCCTCTCATCTTCATCAGCATTTTCACACCTTTATCAACCACTTCTTCTTTTTCTCAGCAGCCCATCCTCTTCGTCATCAGTCCCTTATCTTCATCACTAGTCCCTCCTATTCAACAGCAGCTCCTCTACTTCATCCTCTTATCAGTCCCTCCTCTTCAGCAGCAGCTCCTCCTCTTCATCGCCTCATCAGCAGCTATTTACTGTTCTTACACTTTTTGTGTTACAAAATATCGTAAGAGTGTGTAAGTATGATGGTTTTTGGTGGTAGCAGGTCTAAGTATTGTTAAAAGTATTACACAAAACTTTTTTTCTGTTGCAAATTTAATGAAACAGAAGGTTTTACACGGAAACTGCTTGCTCCCATAATGCATTTTGATTGACATGTTTACCCTTTCTCTTCAACCAGTGTCAGTCTGAACATGAGAACACAGAGTTCCAGCATGTGTTTGTGCAGTGTGAAGATGGCTGGGTAAAGCGTGTGTTTGAGATCACACTGCAGTGTATGGTGATGAATGGAAGGACGGTGGAAACTCGTTGCTCAGGTAACCAGACGGCAACCGTTTCCCCGCGTGTGGGTAGATATAGACACGATCCGCTGGGATGCAAAGCAGGAATGCCTCATCTAGCAATTACAGCGTGAAGCACAGAGCAGCGGGCCATAGGAACTTTATTAAAGTTACACAAATGTCTCATATTTCTCTCCGCAGACCAAACTCATTCCCTCTGTAGATCAGATTCATCTCTCATCTTAAAATGAGTGATTTAAAAACTCCCAAACCTATTTACTCCTGTCGGTAAGTCATTTAAGATATTGGCTGAAGCTCTTAGACAAGTCAGGGTCGTGTTTCAGCCTGAATTGTTAAAAGAAGAATATGTAAATGATTCAATTTAATTATAATTTAAGACATTTTTGCATAAAGAAAATTAAACCTATTAGTCATAAACTACTCGCCCCCACCCCAGTTATAAAATTTTAATATTTTAAATAATTGTAGGTAGAAAGCTTTAAAACAGTACTTTACAATAAAAAATATAGGTACAGTGCTCAGCATAATTAAGTACACCTCAGTTTGAAAATGAATATTTTTTTCTATTTCTCAGTGAATATTGACAATGTATTTTTGCGCTTTTGTGATTTATTTAACAGATATATTTATTATAATCAGGGTTCATACAATCATGGAAAACCTGGAAAAGTCATAGAATTTTGACATGGCATTTTCCTGACCTGGAAAAGTTTTGGAAAAACGGAAAAACCCACAAAGTTTTGGAAAAGTCATGGAAATTACGTTTACACTTAGTCATTTAGCAGACATTTTTGTCCAAAGCGACTTAAGCTGCAGTCACACTAGAGCTTGTGCCTGCAAAATTCTGTCGTACGACGCTGCGAAAAGGGGCGTGGTCAAACAATATGATTAGACATTAATAAAAGTGAGTGATTGCTCTATATTTTAAATTTCATATTTTAAATAATCTTCTATTGATTTCACGCAATCACCTGATGTGATTTCACAGGTAAGAGTTCACCAAGCTTGAACTTTCGAACGCAGTGAAATGCGAAACTTGTCGCACATGCTTGCGTTTTTTGGTCTGAATGGCCTATGAATGGAAGTCTATGGAGCGAAAAGTGCAGCGTGATCGTGGCTTTATAATAGAAGTAATTTTACCTATTTTTAATAGTTTAACAAACTATTAAGATTATCTAAAATTTGTTTGACAAATATCTGTATATTGGAATGGAGGTTAGTTGTTTTTACTTCTTTTTTTGGCCAAAAACATGCTGTCACATTATTAGTGCTGTACAAGCATCATCTATTTTACATAGATTAAAAATAAATTTAAACTATTGCATATTTTATGATATGCTGTAATAAATGTAAACTTTTTTCATGAGTTACCATGTATATGTAGACATTACATGAAACATTAGGTAATGAAAATTGACATTGATAGTCATGGAATTTTTGTAGTAAAAATGTGTATGAACCCTGTATACTAATATATTAGTCAAAAAACATATTTAGAAATTGAAAGATAATACAATTAAATTCAAGCAAAATATTGCAAAAATAATTACCACCTACAAAATGTCAACTAAATATTTAATCTTTTTTTTTGCTTCTCCTGACTTTTCCTCTTTAAAATTTGTATTTAATATTTTTCTATAACATATATAAATATATATATATATATATATATATATATATATATATATATATATATATATATATAAATATTTTTTATTATTATTATTATTATTTTTTTTTTTCTGTACTAGTTTTATTGTAAGTTACTTTGTTAGGTAAGCTCCAGATTTGGCTTCAGCACTGACTAATCTAATGTATATGCACACATATAATACTGTATAGCTTCCTATTAAAATATGAATTTTAAAGATATATTCGTGAGGGGTATACTTATATATGCTGAGTACTCTATATACCAGAAATGCCCAAACTGGGGCATGCTGGCCAAAGTTGGCCCATGGTAAGCTTTGCTTTGGCCCCCATGCCATGCAAGAATGGTTTAGAGATTGTCATTTTCAAGGTAATGTAACCTTATATTTGTTTGTTTTATTACTAAGCTACAAAAAATCCTCTAGAATCTAAAAATAAATGTTTTAATGTAAATGGTGTAAATCAGATTTAGTTTAAACTCTGCATACAATGTAGAGAGGACAATGTGGAGACTTTGGTGAGCAAATTAAGGCAAAGGCAGATTTTGTTTTAAATGTGATTGTTTATGTTTTTATTGCAATAAGTTTTAAATAAAGAAAGATATATCGCCTTAGTTAATACAACTCAAAGTAATGTTTTCTGTTTTCTAATATTATGAAATGAATTAGGAAGTTACCCATGGCAATTTTAATGTAAAATTGTTTGGTATATTTATCTTTGGCCCATGGCTATCAATAATATTATATAATATTATAATAATATTATATAATAATATATATATAAAAAATATATTTTTGGCCCTTCATACGAAAGTTTGGGCACCCCTGGTATATATCATTTAAATTCATATGTGAAATAAATTTTTGAATTATTGTAATAAGAAATAAGGGATACATATATATAATAATATACCAATATTTTTTTATATATGAAATTGGTAACTTGTAATAAGTGATGTATTTAGCTATGTTAATGATTACCTAATACAGAGAAATACATTTGTTATTGTATTCGTTGTTAGTTCATGTTCACTTCATACCAATAAATAATATTATACAAAATTTAATTATAAAAATCTGTAGCTGTAATTGTTGAAAAAGTTAAGAAATGTTAACAAACTGTTACATACTGAATTTGTGTATGGAATATATATACAATAA